CTTGGCTTTAATTATTTTTAAAAAAATATTTAAATTTCTTTTCTTTTCCTGAGGAGAGTGGTGAGGCTCCGCCTCCCTTGCCTCTAGTGACTGCACGTCCCTGGCTATATAGAGTAGCCAGATATTCAAGTTAATCATGAGAAGGTTTTGCCTTCAACATAAGATGTGTACTGAAAGGATAACAATATCATTACAACACAAAATGAGATTTAGTGGCTGGATACTTACTCAAAAGCAAGTCTTACAGAGGTCAGTGCAGTTAAATACCTTCTCACAGGCAAGTATCTACAGCAATCTCCCTAATTTCAAATCCATTCCTACTACTGCTACACTAACTGGGAAGATAGGCCCTGCAGTTGAAATATATCTAGGGCAGGGGTTTCAAACCCACATGTGTCACAGCGACATCATGTAACATATTAGGACTTTTCCCCCCTTCATTAAAATGGGGATGGGCGTGGTCAGTGCATTACACTTCCAGCCCATGGGCCAGGACTTTGACAACCCTCATCTAGGGGGTGCCAGTTTAAGGAATGCAGGCTCATTAGTCCTGCAATTTAAGAGTGATGAAAAAAATAAATCACTATATCTAGTGATAAGTGGAAGTAGAATGGCTTATATATTTAAATATTACTGAATGCTATCTAGTTTAACTTGAAAATTTAAGATTAAATATTCTAAAGCCCTTGTTTGGATTAAAATTGATCTCACAGATTATTATTATAATCCAGAACCACCAAATGGAGATTTAATCTGCAAACATCTTTATGTCTAACTGCCAAAATACTTCAGAGATGTATTTTGATGGCCCCTTATATAAAATTACTCATGAGACTATCATTGATTTATGCATTAACTGAAGAGTTTGTTTTTCCAAATAAGCTTTTAGAATGCTGAACATATTTAGGCAAGAAATATTCAATTTAGAAGAAATTGAAATTTGAACCTATACAGCTAGCAATAAAGAAATTCATACTATCCCAGAACATTGTTAAATCAAGTGTTCTCTTTCAATAATTCTTGTTGCTTTGTCAAACTTCTTCCTTTTTCCAAGTCAGATAAAGTCATGGGACATTACCTACATCAAATTCAAATTGATTCAATCAATTTTTATTTATTCTGGTCCTCAACCAGAATGTCTCCCAGAATAGCTTACTTTTCAGTTAGAAACTACAAAAGTAAAATTTTATAATCTTAAAATGCACCAGTGAAGGAAGAAAATCAATAGAGGGAGGACAAAACAAAATGTATACACCAGCTTCTACTATCACTAAATTCTTACAATATCTGTTCAGGAACAATGGAGTCAAAAGAAACTTTTCTCTCAGCAACTTCAGTGAAATGGCCCTGCTTGTTGGGGGCAATATGCTGACTCTCTGTAAACCGCTTAGAGAGGCCTGAAAGGCCTATGAAGCGGTATATAAGTCTACTGCTATTGCTATTCTTATCCCTGCTCTGACAGAATGAAGCTACACTTCATTTAGTACTTAATTAAGATACTTAAAATGCAATTTACAGTGCGCTGTGTTAGGGGAGGTCATTTTAGGCTGATTCAAAAGCAATGAACTTGATCTGAATTCAGCACAGGCTCTGTAGTTCCCATAGTAATAATCCACAAATTACATTGATTTCACAGCAGGATCCACATGCATGGCTATATTCTGGAAGAAAGTTGAAATATTCATCCTGCCCAACAGGAGCATAAATCATTCTTTCTCTCAAAGAAACTTCCATTTTTAAAATTAAGGCCACATAAGACAATGCTGTTGGGAGGCTGAACATGTTTAGGCAAAAGAAGAAAACAAAATTAGGTGAAATGGATAGCATAAAGGTTAATTAATTAATTAATTATTACAAAGAACATTTATGAATTCTAAAGAAGCGTTGGCACCTAGACAAGCTTCCATTGCCAGAATTAAAGAAGAGTATGTCAATTAAATTACAAAATGAATATAACATACATCTGGTTCTGATTACATATACAACTTGCAAATTCCTTTACACTACACATAACACATGTTTCAAGCAGTAGAAGAGAATATTTGTAGCTCAGATTTGAACTGTCGAGTCCTTAGTGCTCTCTGAGCTTGGATGTTTCTTTGCAGACATTTCATTACCTGATTAGGTAACATCCTCAGCGCATAATAAGTCGGGTAATGAAATGCCTGCAAGAAATCAACCAAACTCCCAAAGCATCAAGGACTCCATATGCTCCAACTGCATGTGCATAGCTATTTATCAGGAGGTTGCCATTTCTATTTCTGAGAGCTATGGACTCTTCAGCAGCCTTAGAACAGCTTCTGATATGTCTGATAAACAGGGTTAGTGATGCTTCGTTATTTGAAACCGTATCTGGTTCACCTTGTAGAGTTCCGCCTCTTGCTGACTGTAGAGACAAGAAAGCCGTTATAATTGAGGAACAGGTCCACTTGTGTATATGTCCATCCATGCTGGATGAGAAAAAAAAGAAGCTTCTGTTTCTTACAACCAAGCCTGAAAAGAAACTGAGCTACCAGTCATGAGACAAGATCAGCCCAAGCCAACACGGACAATGGATAATAGGAGATATAATTCAAAATAATTGTAGAATGGATATTAGCCTGTTTTAATATGTGCTTGGCTTCCTAGTAGCACTGCTTCCTTCCAATGAGCTGCGATGGCGCAGTGGTTAGAGTGCAGTACTGCAGCCTACTTCTGCTGACTGCCAGCTGCTGCAATTTGGCAGGTCAAATCTCATCAGGCTCAGGGTTGACTCAGCCTTCCATCCTTCCGAGGTGGGTAAAATGAGGATCCAGATTGTTGGGGGCAATAGGCTGATTCTGTAAACCACTTAGAGAGGGCTGTAAAGCACTGTGAAGCAGTATATAAGTGCTATTTCTATTGCTACTAAATGGATAGGGAAAGAAGCCTTTATTTTCCTACTCATTGGGAATGGTGCATCTCACAGTAGTGGGAAAATGAATGGGTCACCTACTTACAAATAAGAACAGGAACAAAGTATTGAATAAAGCGTCAATGGAAGAATTGAGCATGAATATAGTTGAGCAAGAGAAAATGTATGCATGAATTATATTTAAATGTAAATCTAATCCCCATCTGTGACCAGCTCCAAATGCCTCCCCCTTAAGAGTGGCTTCCTGCCTATTCCTAATTTATAGGACTACTGTAAATAATATGAATATGTTATGTGGCAAGCACTTTGAACACTAATATTATATCAAACTAATTGATTTCAATGCTTTTGATATTTCAGAGTTTCTCACACCAAGATGGAGGTAAGTAGTTTGCTTTTCTTTCATACTTGATATCTTTAACTATATATTATTATATATGAGCATTTTATTTAGTACTTTGCTACTTTTTAACACATATATACTAAGCTTCAAAATGCTGTTAGCCAAAGAGAGAATATGGAATAAAGCTTTTTCAAAAGTCCTTGATGCCGGCAATAAGCTTTCTTTAGATTTCATGTGCCATAGCTCAAGATAAACCCTATTCTATATGTATCTGACAGCAACGGGGCATATATGCATACAAATATAGATTTCATGATGTAATTTAATGATAATGATAACCAGGTACTTCCATACTAAACACAATTATTTGAAAATAAATCTTAGCATTTGGAGACAAAGCAGATCTTAATAGCACAGAAGAAACCCCCACCCCCAAATGACCCTCATAGAGAATGTTGGGGTGCAATAAAAACAAAAAACAAATTTGGACCCATTCAACTGCTCTTTATATTGTGTGTGTGGATGTGGACATATTTATTTCCAATAAGACTTATTAAATTCATGTAATCTAGCAATCCGGTGTCAGCAATGTTGTTGCACTTTTGTGTAAAATCCTCAGAATATAAAATTTAAAAATCAGTACAAAAGAACACACAAACCACTTGCTGGAAAAAGCAGAAGAAAATATGTAGTGTACATACAAACAACGCCAGAAAATCAGCTAATTTAATTGCCCTCCCAATCAAAGAACTAGCATTCTTTAGGAAGAGCATAAAATGTGTGTTTATAAGGAGCGCTCAAAAGATGTGTGGATCGCTATGGAAAGTATTGAACAGGTGATCAGGTAAGCTCTATGAAAGCCATGTGCATGATCTCCTGAAGTCCAATCAAAACAGCCCTAGAGGGCAGTTTCCACAATCAGAGGGAAGAAAGCATGCTCACAACAACCTAAAGGCTTATACAGGTAGTCTTTGACTTACAACCATACTTGAGCCCAATATTTCTGTTGTTAAGGGAGACATTTGTTAAGTGAGTTTTGGCTCATTTTATGACCTTTCCTGCCACAGTTGTTAAGTGAATCACTGCAGTTGCTAAGTTATTAAGTGAAGTTGTGGATATTCCAACACTGGAGGTTTTTAAAAAGAGATTGGATAACCTTTTGTCTGAAATGGTATAGGCATTCCTGCTTGAGCAGAAGGTTGGACTAGAAAACTCCAAGGTCCCTTCCAACTCTGTTATTCTGAATCTGGCTTCCCCATTGATTTTTCTTGTCAGAAGTTTGCAAAAGGTGATCAGGTGTTTTTGGAACACAGAAATGGTCATAAGTGTGAACCAGTTTCCAAGCATCTGAATTTTTATCACATGAGCATGGGGATGCTACAAAGGTCGTAAGAGTGAAAAATAGTCATAAGTCATTTTTTTCAGTGCTGTTGTAACTTTGAACGGTAACTAAATGAACTGGTGTAAGTTGAGGATTACCTCTCTGGGGGCTGTGCAGATTCCCAGACCCTTGACTGCATCAATACCAAAGATGAAATGTGCTAGATGATATCCAGGCCAAAAATTATGGTGTGAGGTAAGAGGGAAAATACAATATTAAAATCAGAACTAATTGAGGGTGACTAATGCAGAGTCTTGAGGACATGGCATTGAAAGAAGCTACCAAGTCATGAAAGGCCAACCTGGTTGTTTGCTGTAAAACACATTGACCTAGCAGTCCCTGAAAGCGCACTTATGAGGGAGTAGCTTCCGAAACTTCTGTGGAGTTCCACCCTGATAGCATATAAGGTCATTTGGATAGGTCCACCTAGATAGCGCGCATGACACAAACACACACACCATATATCCAGATGGCATGCCCAGATAACCACCAGACAAAAAGCAGAAAGCTGTGAGTTCAAGTTCTACCTTAGCCATGAAAGTCATCGGGATAAATTTGGACCAGTCACTCTCAACCCAACCCACCTCACAAGGTTGCCATGTAAAAAATAGGAGGAGGAAGGTACGTATGTTGGATATATTTGCTACTTTGAGTTATCCATACAAATAATGAAGATGGGAGACAAATCAGGGGTGAAATACTACCGGTTTGGACCGGTTCGCCTGAACTGGTAGTAAAAAATGCTAGTTCTGACAATCAGCTGCGTGACAATCAGCTGTGCTGCACAATTCATTGACAATCTGCTGTGCTGCGCGATTTATCACGAAGCGAACCAGTAGCAGACTTCAGAGCATTTCACCCCTGATACAAATACATACATACTGTACATATATAAATACACACACACACACACACTCGTACATACATATACATATACATACATAATGGTCCCTTTCAAATGTATTGGGCTTCAGCCTTCAGAACTGAAGGCCAGCATGCAATTGATGTTGTCACTTGTAAGATTCCAGAGTTCTGAATTTACAAAGAGGCCTTGGTGCTCTGTAACACATTTCTGCTGCGATGCAAGTTAGGCTGTTAGTTATTAAAAACAGCATGAGTTTCATATCTGGAAAGGAGGATAAGAAGCTATCTGCACATCTCAAAATAGGTAAATCACAACCGAGTTCTAAAACTAGAGGAGGCTTGTTTAAAATAACCCAGAAGGAACTGCTTGCCAAAAATGAGAGACATCATCACTCAACACATTGCTGTTATCAATTACTACTCAATTATGTGCTACGCCCAGACATGTATCCTGAATTATGTCAGTTTGTATGGAAACAGTTTATTGATTATACCATAATATATAAATCTTTTTCACAGTATTTTTGAATCTGCATACTGAAAAAGCAATAATAGTAATAATAGTATAACAACAATACTGCCTAAATGCAATATAATCTTACAAATCCTAGAGTTGCTTGAATATCCTTTTATTGTTAATGTAGGTAGTCCTTGACTTATGACATGGATGTCAAACTCACCGTGTTAGGTTGCCATCACATGATGTATTGTAACATTTTCCCCCTTGGCAGCACTGGGGTGGGCATGGCCTGTGCGGGACTCATCTGGCCCACCAGTTTGACACTCCTGACTTATGACCACAATTGAATCCAAAATTTCTGTTGCTAAGCAAGATACTTGTTGAGTTTTGCCCCATTTTACGACCTTATCACAATTATTAAGTGAATCAGTGCAGTTGTTAAGTTAGGAATACGGTTAAGTGAATCTGGCTTCCCCATTGACTTTGCTTGTAAGAAATTTGCAAAATGTGATCCCATGATCCAGGGACACTGCAGCTGTCATAAATAAATATGAATCGATTGCCAAGCATCCGAATTTTGATCATGTGACACTGGGGATGCTGCAATACTGAAAATGTTCATCAATCATTTTTTCAGTATAATTGTAAATTTGAACAATCACTAAACAAACTGTTGTAAGTTGAGGATTACCTGTATATTGTTTTAAGAAAATAAATTAATAATACAATAAATAGGCATGATGTTGCAAGGCTCCTCGTCTAGAATTCAGTACATTATCTCTTCTACCTACCAGTTATTAATTAATTGTTATTAATTATTAATTAATTGTTTGTTCTATAACTTGCTCCTTTAAGGCAATTTAAAAATAATAGCCCAAATTTAAAGATTCACAAAAGACTCATGCAGACATCCCGGTGTTTTTACAAGGAGGTTTTTCTGCTACACCAGAGTAAAATCAGTAGGTCTCTGTTATAATTATTTACATAGATTACATTCAGAGTTATGCCCTGCAGCAAAGTTGCAAAGTGAAAGTAGGAAAGAGCATCATTTGTGTGAAAAGAGGAGCAATAAAGTGAGAACTAGTCTAAATTGGATGTCAGGTGCGACTTCATTTAATAATCAGGAAAGAAACCACTCNAAAAGCTCTCTCAACACATCTTATTTCCATTTTGCCCAAGTACCCCGAAGGAATTCTTAAGTGACAAGAAGATGGAAAAATACAGATGGTATAATTATATATTTTGCAGTTGATTAATCACCGCAAAACATTAATCACATTTGGTAGAACAATAGATAATCAAATTCTTTATAGCCGAAATTAAGTTTCTTTCTGATCAGGAATGGGTTCCTTTAGGATATTGATGTGGTGTTTTCAGCAGCTGGTGGGCTTCCATCTCACATCTGCATTTGTTTGTCATCCGCTTTAGGGCATTGGCAAAGATATGATTTTCAGGTTCATTGCCTAAATCCAGGCATACATGTTGACAATAGCAGAAGGCTGCCTAAGAGAGAGAGAGAGACTTCCCGATCAGATTCTTTCAAATCTGTTGGCCCTTACTCCTTCCTGAGCTCAAATAAAATATTCATAGTGAAACCACTCTCTGCTTCATTTCCCGGACTAACCAATTCACATATGCTCACATTTTTTTCCAAGATGAGCTAATTTGGGGCCAAGAAAATGTTTAGAACGTGAACAGCATTCTGAAAATTCACATCCATTTTGCATAATCTCATTTTTTCTGTGCATTAGAGGGTACCTGAGGTCCGCCAGCTAAATCCCCTGCACTAAGAAAACTCACAGGTATCCTAAACCAGCTCCTTTCCTTGATGTGCTTATTTTCCAGATGGAGGGGGAAATATTCTATGGCAGAAGCAGGACATATATTTCTGAGATGCATTGTAGATTCCATATTGCGCAAGTCATATAGAAAAAGGGGAGAAAGTTAAAGAATGTGAGGCAGGCGCAGAAGAAGATGGTCAGGCAACATCAGACATGCTAGAACAGCATCAAACAATGATAGTTAAGGCCACCAGATGTGCAAGAAGAGGAGAAAGAGAAGGAGGAGGAGAAAGGAGGAGGGTTCCACCACAAAACTGCGTTCGACTAAAGCGTGCTCGACGAAACCGCATAGCTGACGTCATCAACAGGGCGACAACAGTGCAGAGACAGAAGCACGCTGTAAACGCTAAACCTAAAATGAACCCCTAAACCTAACCCTAACCCCCCTAAACCTAATCCTAATCCTTCTCTTTCCCTTAAACCTAACCCTTAACCTAACCCTAACCCTAAACCTAACCCTTAACCTAAC